TCACGGGTTTATTACGAATCAACTTAACGGCCTGCTCCCAGTTGGCTTGTTAGCTCAATTGGTAGAGCGCTGCACTAGTATCGCAGAGGTCAGTGGTTCGAATCCCGTGCAGGCCTGATTTTTTTCAGGTCTGATTTTCGCTATTGCATATATAGCGCTATCTACTGCGAAGGATGGTGCATCATACGTATTTAATACCGCAGTTCAAAATATATGAACTTCATATATTCATTGTATCTGATTGTAAGTGTGTAAGCTCAAAAGTGCCCATTTTACTTTACCAAGCGATCGCCGGCCAAAAATCCAGCCGGCGATAACCGCTTTTTCATCCGGTGGACTTCGCCGGCGGCCCGTGAGGTCCTTAGCGACAACCTGCACGCGCACTCCTCGCCTCTCTTTTTCTATTTACTTTAATCGGCATGAAGCTTCTCCGACAAAATTCAACTAACGCTAATACCGCGCCCTTGTTTATAGTCCAAATATCCTCGATATTTTTAACACTTACGCTTTCTGTTACCGCCAAATAGTTTTTCGGTTTTGTATATCCTTTCGTAATTTTGTTTTTCCTAACTTAGTGTTTTTCGGAGATTTTTTTTCGATTTCCTGTGACCGAAACAACTGATATATTTTACTCCTGCACTGTAAATGGTAAATGAGCGATAGTCTTTATTTGGCGCGAAAATATCCACGGATATTTTTCCGGACATTATCTCTTCCAAGATGTATACGGTTTTCTGGGAGCGATAGGACCTCAATCCAATCATCTGACAATAGACCTCAGTGAACGTGACAAAACTAGCATATGTGTGCTCACGTGTGTATATGTTTGCTCACGTGTTTTGTCTTATTAGCTCCATCCAATGAGAAGCATTTTTCCGACAACTCCTACGAAATTCAATTGAAATACCACGCCATTGTTTTACAGTCCTCGTACTAAAATCTCCTTCCAAACACTTTTGGTGCTCTATTCTTTGCTCATCGTTTACTCAACACTAAATACCAATTGCTATCGTTACATTTCTGTAAGCTAATTAAAATGAAGCAGTTTACAATCCTTTACCGAGCTCTGAATGTCTGGAACTCCCTATCCAGTGATTTCACCTTATCCGTCAGATGTTCTTACTTAAACTTGCAAATCGAGAGAATGCTATAACGGTCAACACTCTCGAAAGCGGACACCTTAGGGATTGGAAAAAGTGTTCGTGAGAATTATTCGTATAAGTGGAGACATCAAAGCAAAATAGAGTGGACGTCCGCTTTCGGCTAAAAACAAGACGGAAAGTAATGTGACACTGCAAAATGTTATGTCGCACTCTTATCAAGTGTCTAATCCTGAGGTAAACTGTACGGTTATGTTTTTTCAAGAGTCCTAATGTTTCCAAAATATTCAGTGTTGATTGATTATTTCTTTCAGAGCTTATTTGAGTCGGCGTTGGTATAGCAAGGCAGAGTTTGATTTTGACGTGTAGATTTTGTGAAGGGAAATAAATCGGACGTACAGGTGAAAAATCTTTGAAGCAAGGTCGGGAGCGTGTATTTTCTGGAGCTGGCATGAATTAAATCAGTGAATACGTGTGACCGCAAAGCGCTAAGAGTCACGCGACCAAACTCCAGCGGTCACGTTCGACACTTAGGGCAAGGGAATTTCAGGATGGTCAACTCCCTCATCGCTTTTCTTTTTTTCTGTAATTTGTCACGTATGTCCTGTAAATATATGTGACATGAACCCAGACTTGTTGATTTCCATACTTGGTACTGGCCATGGGCTTTCCGGTTTTGTTACAGGAGTCGACCTGCGCGTCGCTGTTACTGAACAGCAAAAGTCATTCTGCGGTGTTTGCGTCCACTGAAGCGATGAGCAGCAAAGCTGAGCAAAGCTGGAGACAGAAGATACTTGGATTCCCACCAAAAATCGTGACTATGATTTCCTAACTACTGATCACGAAAATGAGTCCTCAGACTCTTGAATGCACTTTGCTTATCTTTCAGTAACCAAAACCAGTATTGCATTTCTTTTTTTTTACCCCACTTGTGGATCTATTTCTTTACTTTGACCTCGTGAGAAGTAAAGGAACGGAGCCGGTAGACCTTGGCCGGATTGTAGGAGCCAGTAAGAAGGTAGGATTCTTGGAGCTATTTCCGATGACGGAGAGCAGGTAAAAAAATTTTACAATCCCTGTTGTAGAGACGGTTGCAAGACAGCCATCTCTTCTCTTCAGAACCTTTCGATCATCTACCATATTGCGAAACACTACTGCACACTGCGGACCATTTTTTTCAGGGGCCTATCATCTTTCCAAAAGAAGGGGCGAGCAAGCTCATGCCAGTATAATTTCTCGGAATTGAGTTATTTACGAAAAACTTTTCATTGAACGGAATTCATAGAGCATTGTATGGACGCTTACAGCTGAATGAGGTAGCGGAGAGAACAATGTAAACCAGTCAAGGTTTGGTGCGAAGTTATATTTTCCAGCTGTAAACAAATGATCAAAATACCTGTGAAGTGTGGGAGAGGTTTCGATTTCACCTGCTCTAATTTGCTTATTACGGATGAATATCCCCTTAAAATACTCAAAATATAATTGGTGCTATTTTTGTGTCAATGTTGAGTTTTAAACTGCAGAGGAAGTCAGGCGTGCAGTCATAGTTACGTGTTGAGATGTTAGTATGTGCCTCTATGACACATTCAGAACAGATTTGATAGACTGGAAAATAATTTTATTTCCTCAGTTGCAATTTGCTTAGAATTAGATCTCTTTTTGCTTTGTTCTTTCGTGTCCCTTATGTTCCTTTCTATCTTTACACTGATTTTGTCGTTAGATCAACTGAAGTCCATGACCAGTCTTCGAGCACTAAAATCAAGTTGGTTGTTCAAAGCCCCACTTTATCAAATTTGATGCTTTACATTTAATAACTAGTTGGTATCTTGTAGCCTGAGTAGTCTCTCTCGTTACTTCTCAGCTTAGCAGAAAATACGGCAATGGCATACAGCAAAGGCTGCACGCCTTTGCGTCATTTCCGCTCAGCTCATGTGACACCTTATCGGCTAACAGAAAACGAAAAGACTGCTGTAGGCTAGTATCGCACACCTCTAACGGCTTACGGGTTTTATTTTCATTTCAGCTCTTTTTACGGAATATTTTTGTCCTTTCCAGCTAGATCAGTTGACACCATCAGCGTGTGAGGAGTGTTTCCCGTGATGATACAGACCATTCAGGTTGGAACTATGGCAATGCTTATACCACCAGGCTCCTTTATATTCAGTAGCGCAATTTGAACTCCAGCCGTCATTGTCCTGGTCTCTAGTTGAAAATGGATAGCCTCGTTGCAAAGCGAGAGAATCACCAGCAGTACCTTAAGGAAAAAATTGATCAGCTATTTAGAAAAAAATTATTAATTATACTAATAACGCATAGAAAATAAGCGTTTCTTATACTTTCTATCGGTTTGACGGCATAATTAACCACGGGGGGTGTTGAGAGAAACAAGAGAAAGATTTGTAAAGCACGAGCCGAAGGCGTCAAACGGTGCTACCAGTTAATTAACTACATTTGAAATTAGAATTTTATACATGTTAGAAAAATAAAAAAATTTTCTCGTTGCTTTCGGCATTCAAAGCGTGCTCCTCGTTTCCTCCAAACCATAGGCTTTCAATAAATTAAAATCCGAGAATTCTTCCCTTGTACCGTTATTTCTCAGGACAGTTTCTATGTGCTTACCGGCACAATAAACATAGATTTTTGACCAATCAGAGCGCGCCTTGTGTCTAAGTTATGATATAAAAGTCGATAGTTCATATTAAACCTGAATAGCTCCCGAGACTTAGCTGGTACTTAGTCCTCTCGCTCGTGATAGCGAATATGCTATATTCGGCATAAGCTGTGTTTCCTTTTGTATCTTCCAGATCAACACGCAACTTATATCTGTCACTAGTTGTCAGCCGGTGTATCTTGTCCAGTCCAAGCCAAAACTCGCCATTCAGGTTACCAAAGCCATTTTTGTAGTCATCCCACGTGCGGTAGAAATCAACGGAGCCGTCCACTCTCTTCTGGAACACTGTCCACCCTCCACCGGCTGTTTTCTGGTCACAGTATACATCAAAGGCACCGGTACTGGAACCATCGGGGTCAATTGTATAAACACCGCTGATTGTTTTACCAGATTTGTAGAGCTCAGCACAGTTTTTATGAGGCAAGTCTTGTGATGAGAGAAAAAATCAGCAAAATAATAGGATGTCCCCGTCAATGTCATTAAAGCAGAGAAATTGAGCAGTCACTGACGTTTGTTCAAAAAGATGATTACAAAGAAGGCTCTGAAGAAAATAAAAACGTGTAACCGGCTGTTTCCCGAAGCTGAACAAAACTTTTTAAAGTTGTCAAAAATTGCAGTCAATTACCTTCAATGGTTTGCATGCTGTTTTGTACAATTCTGTTTATGATCATCTGTAAGATTCCCTGCATGCGATTTAAATACGTTGCTTCTTGCATGCGTTGCCATGTTGTTGGGCGTGCAAAGACAGGCCGTGGCCATCAAAGAGGAAGCTTGATTGTTTTAGTTTTCTAGTGTGCTGCAGCGTCCTCGAAGTTCCATCATCAGACCTTTGCCAATTTCCGAAAGGAAACTCGTAGAATAAGTCAGCGTTTTTAAAATCTAAGGTGCTAATGTTTTTTCCCAAGTACGTCAATTTATTCACTAAATTCCAACCAGCGCTACTACTGAATCACAAAAGAAGTTCAGCATACCTTTACTACTGTCCGCGTCCTTCTTTGTCAGATTCTTCAGTTCCTCCCGAATCTCGTCCAGTTGTCTCTTCATGCCCAGGATTATATTTTCCAGCTTTTTGTTGGGGCCAGCATAGAAGCTGTTGTAGTTGTTGATGTTGCAAGGAGAATTTTCTTTTCGTTTAGTCACCGAATCTTGGCAGCTGACTACAGCATAGGAAAGTGCATTGACCCATAGAAAGAGGAGTACAATCATTTTAGCCGGGAGCTACAAAAAATTTGTCGTATACCCTCGTTCGCGGCTCAGTCACATGAATTGAAAAACAGCAACGAAGTCATAGGTATTTATTCAAAACTTTTTTTCATGCCTAAACAAGAATTTTCGGATGTTTTTTCGCCAATTATGAAGTTTACTTTGGCACTGAATCTATCTCTTAGACATCACGTTCGTTTATTTGCATGCGAGGGCATAAATGCACTCGCAAGAGGTCATTTATTTCCTTTTTTTTTCGGAAACTGGCAAAAGCGAAAATTAACTTCAATCTCAACTCCAGTTATCTCGATGAACTTCTAGCCATGAATATTTTTGGACATCAGTCTTTTCTTGGAAGATTCATTGATTGATTTTTTTTTGACTACGCGAATGGTCACTGTGCCGCACTTGCGAATATTACGCTTTTGCATAGCGACATAACGACGCGCGAAGATCACCAAAGCCTACTCATCTAGGCTCAATAGGGCCACCAAATCAATCACGAAATAAAAAATTCAAGAAAAGCGGATTAAACTTGATAAGAGTAGACTTTTCATCGATCATAAAAATAACCCTATATAGTCACATCAAATCCTCTGGACACAAATTATTCTCGCCCGTCATACAAAAATTTACGCGCAAGTAATAACAAACACAAGACTAGCCTTTTCTAATCGCAATAAAGGGCAAAACAGAAACATATGCGAAACAGGAAAAAAATCATGCAGAGAAAGACAATATTACACAAATATTTTATACTGTAAGACCTTGTTGGGTTCATTGTAGCATAGAGTCTCTCTGTCTTCTCTGATGTGCATTTCATCCAGATTTAGACTCCCTTCACAACATTAAAATTCTTTCCTTGCTTTCATTGGTTCAATTCCCAATCAGTTGAAGTGTCTCTTCTGATCACGTTGGTATGCATAGGATTTCACTTGAAGTTTCCATGTTTTGTCTGTGGAAAAACTAAATATATCTTGCAACTTCTAGCAAAAGAAATTACGTGTGCTATTTTTTTGTGGTCGCATCGCTCTCAGAAATCACATTTTCGATCGCTGTTCCTTCCTGAGGCAGTTTGGCCATGAATCGATTTTGGCTTACAGCGACACAAATGAAAAGAATTAGAGAACAATCAAATTATTATTGAAACAGGTATCTCCAACCCTTTTCAGGGGCCAAAGGAAAACCATTCTTGGTCAGTGAATCGAAAGGACCGTCTTTGCAGAAGCAGATATTTTAAAAATGATTGTGTGCTTCACTCTTCGTTTAATTCGTGGTTTCTGAGTAAAAAAAATTGATAGTTCAACAGCTAAAATTAACGTTTGAAGCTTTTGATTTTTCTCGTGGAAAAAGGTGGTATTGTTAAGGTGTGAAAAAACGAAGGAAAGACTGACGATTTGCGAAAACTGAGCTGGATTTATTTTATCATGACTTATCCCTACTTAAATTGCACAACATCCCTTATATATGGAATCAAATAAAAACAAAAGTTGCCGAACCACCTAGGATCCCGAGCTTAAAGTGTTTCTATCTACCTAAACCTCTCTGAATGTAGATAGTTGTTCACGATGTTCTCGATAAAAGAAAAATGACTCACAAATGTTATATTTTAGGAATTTACAATCCTCTAATAAAAACGAGAAATAGCAAGTATTTATTACAATTCTGCTTTATCTTAATTTGTTCCAAACATTTAAGGCCTTCTGAAACTTCTACTTAAATGCCCTACCTAATTATTTTCGGCAATACTCTAACAACAGGTTATATTTTCAAAACATCAATCGCAGCTCTTTTTTACGCCTTCAAGTTTCAGAAACTGAAATACAATATATAAATCTATCATATTTCGGTTTCTAAAACTTGATTGGTTTGATCTTCATCGCAGCTTTTGCAATAGACCTCTGGTAACCCTTCCAAGTGTTCCAAATAATCCCCTCATAGACACATGTGGAATGTGTGCCAATGTGATAGAGACCATTCAGGTTGGAATATGCACATCCTTAGTACCAGCAAGCTCGGCTATGCTTCAGTGCACAGTTTTCTTTGTGAGCGTCATTATCCTTGTCTTTGGTGGTGAATGTCATTCCATTATGATAGGTTAGGGCATCGCCAGCCGTCCCTGAATAAAAAATTTAATAAAGAATACCGTTAACATAACTTCGCAATTGTCCGTTGCAAAGACATCGATCATTCAGTGTTTCGATTGCAACTTCCGTTTACGTGATCTCCTCTCCCCAGCCGAATAGTTCGTTACCTGGAGAATACTATTTGGCTAAAACTGGAAAGGTTACAAACCGCTCATACTCGCGAAAAAAAAAAGATCGATAAATGAAAAGTTTGCACTCATCATACGCTGATAGGAGGCCTTTGCAAGTGTTAGAAGTGTTTCACCACCACTAACGTCACATTCGACCTCTACCAATCGTTTTGAGCCCACGGCCGCAGAAGCATGAAACCGAAATTTTCATAAGTCACAGGAAGTGAATGAAAATAAATACCCAGACTTTAACTTATTCATCCGCAGCGAGCCAGAAATAAATGCAAAAATTTTTTGCAACAAAGCTGTGGAAGTGCAGGGACGGCTTTTTCTGGTCCGGCTCACATCAAACCATCTAGCCCTACACACGGGTCATGAGGGGGAGGGGGGAGGACAGGTAAATTTTATCTTGACACAACCAGATTCTTACGACCCTTTCCCCTTTCCCCGTCCCTGCGATAAATAATGAACGGTCCGTTAGCAAAATGAACCTGAATATGATCCAAGGCTCAACTTGTAGTTGTTCTTCTCGCTTGCAACAGCAAACAATTCATATTCGGCGTGGACCTTAGTTCCATCTTCATCTCTCAGATCGACGCGAAGCTTGTTCCAGTCGCTGAGGGTCAAGCGATATATCTTGTCCAATCCAAGCCAATACTCGGCACTCAGATTACCAAAGCCATTCTTGTAGTCTTCCCAACCGAGGTAGAAATTGACAGAGCCGTCCATCCTCTTCTGGATCACTGTCCACCCCCCACTGCCTGTCTTTTAGTCACAATACACGAGAAAAGCACCTCTGCCATCAGGGTCGATTTTGTAGACGCCACTGGTTTTGTGACCAATGTTATACAGCTCAGCGCAATTCTTCTTTATAACTGCAAATAAGGTTGAAAGTACAAAAAAAAATTGATGCCAATGTGCATGTCAATTTTAATGCTCTACGAAACAAATAATATTCGTTTTAATAAATACAACATCGTTTTAAAAATTATTGAGCTATATTTCTTGAGTCTTCATTACGGTCTAATCAACTGATAGCTCGTGGCAGCCAGAATACCTGCTTAACAGATACTAACTGACAGTCCCCTTTCCCCGATCCCGCGACAAGATCCAAACAATACCACAATTGTAGATTTTTTCTGTCATGCCACCGGCCTCAAATATCCCATTGATGTAAATCTTCACACGACGGCCTTTTCTCACAACGGCAGAACTTTGCAGTATCCAAAATTAGATACTTAAAAGATTGAGACCGAAATGGCTCTAACACGCTACATGAAGGAAATCTTTAGCAGAATACACTTTGCATGTGTGGAAAACTGATCCTGCCCGGGTCAGTCATAAACTTCGTGCCAGTGGAGAACTTGAGTTAACAGATGAGCAAAATAAAGTGAGTTAAAGTAAATACTTATCGTGGTTGTCTCAAAAAGTGGACTAATCGGTAATTTGATTCGAACTTAAATACCGAGATAACAAAACAAATAACTGTCCGTAAGGTATCCACTCTTACCTTCATTTTTAGCTGTGGGTATATTTCCTCCTCCTCCCGCCGAAAGCTGGCCGAACGTGCATGGCACGGAAGAATTGTTGTCGTCCGGTAAAACTACAGGTCATTTGGTAAAGGAAGTTAAGCAAACGTCTGCGTAACTTGTGCGTGACGTGTTCCCGTAAAAAGATTTAAGTTTGACACTAGTATCAAGAACTAGAGGTCGAGGTTTGAGGTTATTTGTAAATGGTTTACATGTTCACAAATAGATCGGGGTGGGCAGTCACTAAACTTGGTAACGTATCATCTTAATTTTTCTTTAAAAAGAGAGATCACGGCCTATAAATCTAAATTTCGCGCAAAATTTTGTTGCTCTTGAGAAACGTTAGATCCTATGTAGCTAAAAGGAAACGCCTTCAATTTGAACGATACATTTTTATGTTCGAAGATTTTCAGTATGTTTAAAAGGAAATTCAAACCTGGCAAACAACAGTCATCAGCGACAGAAAAAGGAGTTCTTACCTTGCGTGTCGTCATCCTCATTCTGCGGCAATATGTTGAGATCCTTTCGAATGTCATTCAGCTGTTTCTTCACATCCAAGAGAAGATTTTCGATTTTCTTGTTGGGTCCTGCATAAAAGTTGTTATTAATGTTGCACGTTTTGGAACTTGCATGATTTTGTCTCTGCACCGATCCTTGGCAGATAACCAATGAGTGAAATAGGGAAAAGGAGATAAAGACTCCAAGAATCATTTTGAATAGCATCTTACGATGGTGTGCACACTTCAGTCGTTCTTGCTCAGGGGCGGATACAGGGGGGGGTGGATAGGGTGGATATCCACCCCCCATTTTTCAGTAAAAAAAAATTCGAAATGTCACTTTATTTGAAATAGAAAATAGAGAAAGAAAGAAAAATTAGCTCTCGCTCATGTCTGGTTGTTGTTACGCCACGTTTCGTCGTCTGCCGCCACTTTTCGCGCAAAAGTTCGCAACTTCATATATTTCATTGTATCTGATTTATCACTTTCACGGGTTTATTACGAATCAACTCAACGGCATGTTCCTAGTTGGCTTGTTAGCTCAATTGGTAGAGCGCTGCACTAGTATCGCAGAGGTCAGTGGTTCGAATCCCCGCCAAGCCTGATTTTTTTCAGGTCTGATTTTTGCTATTGCTTAAATAGCGCTATCTACTGCGAGGATCGTGTATCATATGTATCTAATACCGCAGTTCAAAATATATGAACTTCATATATTTCATTGTATTCAAAACTCAATTTGCATA